GGATTCCAGACAGCACATGACCTAGATACTTTAACTGCTATTTGAATCTAAATTTTTTTTAACTTTTCTGTTTTTTGTTTTGTTTTATTTGATTGCTGATGGATTTCTCCACTAGCTGATGCAATAAATAAATGGATTTTTGATAAATTAATTTTTAAAAAACGATTATAGTCCAATTCTATGAAAAAATTTTAGACTTTGTAGCAAAATTTTAAAAATATAAGAATTGTAAAGATGGTTTTTGTAATTCACCACATCCAAAAAACCTTTGTAACTCCAGTGCTATGGAGTTACAGATTGGGTTGAAAACGTTTGCTGGTTTACACACCAGCAAACATTTTCGACCCAATCTGGGTCTTCATCAGGCTACGGTTATACAGAATTTGAACGTATGCAGAATGGAACAACCAAACTAAAATGCGATTCAAACTTTAGAAAAAACCAAATTTAAGAATAAAACAGAACATTACCCACGTGCTGAAATGACGGTTAAGCACGCGCCACTTCACTTTTGCGAAACGTTGAAAACATACAAAATATACGTAATCCAAACTCATTTGGTTACTGGGGTGGGGTTCCCTCATAACAGAACTTCCACACACTAGATATCCCCACTGCATCCCTGGAGTTGATGCACATGCTACGTAATCCTGCTTTATATATTTCGAGAGTCTCCATGGCTCTCAGTTGATCAATACGATGTGAGAGCCTGATCAGACAGGCATTTTGTATGTCAGCCATGATTCCAGGTTCCGTGGCAACCGTTGCTAGGGCAGTGGTGTGTTTTTTATTGTCAATGTCGTATTTATACTCCCAAAGCCGTTTATGAAGAGATCGTTTGGTTGAGCCCACATAAAGCAACTGGCTGTTAAATCTGTCATCCCAAAGCGGGACCGCATATACCCCTGGTGCGTGTTTCAAGTCTATTGTGTCTTTTCCGTTGTAAACAGATCTTGGCCTACTATAAGCTATCTTAGTCTTAGTGATGGATGAAATTTCCCTGTATATTTTATCCAGATGGTGGTTGTATCGTACAACTTTTCTTGCACCTTCATTATTCAAAGACTCCCCAGTGGCATTGGTAGTGTCACGTGCGTTTGCCCTTGTGTAAGCACGAGCGATATTATATATTAAGTTCTTATTATACCCATGCTGTGTGGCCATTTCCTGAATGTGTTTTAGCTCATCTATCGTGTCTTCATAATTAGAGTTGTGCGTGAACGCCCTCTTAGTTAAGGCCCGAAACGCCGCGATCTTGTAAGAATACGGATCCTCCGTGTTGGCGGGGATGAAGAGCGGTACATAGGACTTTTTGTATTAAACCTTGGATATGATCCCATTATCGTTAATTTGAAGGTCCAAGTCCAGAAAATGTGCGACGCTGTTGCTTTTCTGGTCCAATTTGATGTTCAGGCCATAAGGGTTGTCGTTCATTAAGTTAATGAACTGGTTAACGTTGGGTTCTGTTTTCCAAATGATAATAATATCATCAACATACCTCCTGTACAATAGTATGTTGGAAACGTACAAGGGGATGATTCGATGTTCCAGCCTCCTGATTACCAGCTCACATAAATCGCCTGAGAGAGGGCTCCCCATGGGGACGCCCCGCTTTTGGAGGTAAACTTTGTTATTATGGCCTGTTACCCTTATGGCATGAACATCAAATTGGACCAGAAAAGCAACAGCGCCGCACATTTTCTGGACTTGGACCTTCAAATTAACGATAATGGGATCATATCCAAGGTTTAATACAAAAAGTCCTATGTACCGCTCTTCATCCCCGCCAACACGGAGGATCCGTATTCTTACAAGATCGCGGCGTTTCGGGCCTTAACTAAGAGGGCATTCACGCACAACTCTAATTATGAAGACACGATAGATGAGCTAAAACACATTCAGGAAATGGCCACACAGCATGGGTATAATAAGAACTTAATATATAATATCGCTCGTGCTTACACAAGGGCAAACGCACGTGACACTACCAATGCCACTGGGGAGTCTTTGAATAATGAAGGTGCAAGAAAAGTTGTACGATACAACCACCATCTGGATAAAATATACAGGGAAATTTCATCCATCACTAAGACTAAGATAGCTTATAGTAGGCCAAGATCTGTTTACAACGGAAAAGACACAATAGACTTGAAACATGCACCAGGGGTATATGCGGTCCCGCTTTGGGATGACAGATTTAACAGCCAGTTGCTTTATGTGGGCTCAACCAAACGATCTCTTCATAAACGGCTTTGGGAGCATAAATACGACATTGACAATAAAAAACACACCACTGCCCTAGCAACGGTTGCCACGGAACCTGGAATCATGGCTGACATACAAAATGCCTGTCTGATCAGGCTCTCACATCGTATTGATCAACTGAGAGCCATGGAGACTCTCGAAATATATAAAGCAGGATTACGTAGCATGTGCATCAACTCCAGGGATGCAGTGGGGATATCTAGTGTGTGGAAGTTCTGTTATGAGGGAACCCCACCCCAGTAACCAAATGAGTTTGGATTACGTATATTTTGTATGTTTTCAACGTTTCGCAAAAGTGAAGTGGCGCGTGCTTAACCGTCATTTCAGCACGTGGGTAATGTTCTGTTTTATTCTTAAATTTGGTTTTTTCTAAAGTTTGAATCGCATTTTAGTTTGGTTGTTCCATTCTGCATACGTTCGAATTCCGTATAACCATAGCCTGATGAAGACCCAGATTGGGTTGAAAACGTTCGCTGGTGTGGAAACACGTATCACTGGAGTTACAAAGGTTTTTTGGATGTGGTGAATTGTATTTCCTCCGGTGTTTACAAAGAGGTTCATTTCTTAGATGGTTTTGTGATTAAAAAATAAAAAAAGATTGATTCTCTGTGCAAAATATCACAATTAAAAGAAAATCCTTGCTAAATACTCATGAGTGAATAGATCAACCATTCAAGAAAGCATTGCTCGGTTAAGTGTTTTTGATGACACTGAGAAGTTCACATTGACACAACGATTTTATATAATAAGACCCATGGAAATATCATATGGATAGTTTATTATAAGTCACCCATAAACTGATGCACAAAATCTTGAGTTTTAGCTGAACTTCCATAACTCAAAATCCAAATTTTTTCCCCTGACCAATTCACATTAACAAGGTTTCACTTTGTAATGTCAAAAAAAATTTATCATATGATAAATGGTTTATTTCTATAAAAAACGATTTTGTTGAATGTGTATTAATTTCGACTAAATATTTTTAATAGGAATAAATCATTATTAGTTAAATTAGTTTTTAGTTAATCAGTAAAAGAATTTAATATTATTTTTTTCATTAGTTAGGTATTAAAAAATGTTGGAATGGAATTAGGATGTTTTCAGATACATTTTATGTTTTGAATATTATTTGACTTTTTGACCTAAACTCCAATATTGAATTATATTCTTTATTGATATGTACAAAAGTAATTCTTGTTAAATAAATTTTTTTATTGTACAGATTTTGGTTTGTGTGAGAAAAATAAGTAAGCATATAAACATGCACATTGAGGTATTTCCGGAAAAGTCAACATATAATGAAAACAATTAAAAAATAAAGGGAAAAACAATGTATTCTTACAAAAATTGGTAAAAAAGTAGTGCACAATATACAGACTGAAAACACACACACACACACACAAAGGGAAAAACAATGTATTCTTACAAAAATTGGTAAAAAAGTAGTGCACAATATACAGACTGAAATTATTCTATGTAGTGTCCATCAGTTTCCACAATCTTCTCCAGCCTTGATTTGAAACAGCTGCAGGCACACTTGATCTGTTCCTTGTTCATGTTTTCCATCACCTCCATGATGGAAGCCTTTACAGCATCTTTGATATTGCGATGCTTCACATTTACCTTTCCCTTGACCATCCCCCATATGTAATAGTCAAGGGGATTGTAGTCAGGGCTGGATGGGGGACCATAAGTCAGAGAACCAGTTTTCTGTCCTCATTCTTCTCAGTCAAGAACTGGTGATTCCTGAGGACAAAAAAATGGTATTGAAGGTTCTCTTGCACTGCCAGACTGATCATCAACCATACCATACCCATTTCTTTTGTGAGGTCACTCATGCTCCATACACCATTCTAATTGATCATCTCCTTTAATTTGGCTACAAATTAAAGGAGATGATCATATTAAAGGCCAAATTAAAGGAGATGATCAATTAGAATTGTTTAGATTTTAGTTAGATGAAAAGATTTTAAAGATGCTACCTGTCAAAAACTAGAACCTGATATCTTAACTGCTCCATAAGTAGAGTGAATCTTGCAGCATGAGTTACTTTATGGCTACAATATGCTGCAGATTGCTCAAAGTTTGATTAAACATATACTGAAACCCTACCAATACATCTCTTGCGATTAGAATGCTTGCTTTGAGTAGCCCTGTTAGGAGTCATATTCTCTTTGTTGTCAGACTCCTCGAGTGTCTTGGCTATGTAGTAAACTTGTGTCTTCTTGTAGCCAAACCATGCCATGATTTGTGTGGATGACTTTCTGGCTTGAAGCAATTCCAGTATAGCATCTCCTTCAGTCATATTCTCATGACATGCCTGAGCAGGCCCTAGTTGTTGACTGTTCAGTGTTTTCTTTTTGAGTGGCTTGAAGCAGGCATATACTTTCAACAGTCTTATCTCTATGATTGCTCAAGTTTGTCCACAAAGAAATTCTAGATTTCTTTTACCCCAACAACCCTGTGTATTGTTTGTTAGAATCAAAAATATTTGGTTAATGAAGTTTTTTACTTGTAAAAGATTTAAGTTTCATTGCATATGAATTCACTTTTTTTTATAATTAATATAATTTAATAAAACATTTTCTAATATCTTTAATTTATATAGTGCATTTCTAAAATTATTTTTTATATCCATATTCTAAATATTTTATTAATTAAAACATAAATAACTAATTCAACAATATTATTAAAATATTACAAATGTCAATAATAATAATAATTATAATTTTTAGGCTCTGAAGAAATATTGGAAACAGATAGAGAACAAGGTAATGTATTTTAATATTATTTTCATACATTTATATATTTGTTTTTTTTCTTATATAAAATACAGTCGACCCTCCTATAACACTGTAGATACGTTCTGCTTTATAAGAATTTCGCATTGTAGGAATCCTCAAATACATGAGCCAATCACAGCTTGGCACATGTGCAGTTTACGGATGGCTGTTTGAAAGGTTTTCTTCCATGAAATTAATTGATTCTAGACTAATTTCATTCAACATTTCCAAAACACATATAATTTTTTGGGAATAATCTGTATAAACTATGCTATAAACAAAAAATTGTAGGATTACTTACTGAGTGTGCACTGTTCGACCATGCCATTGCTTAAGCTTGTTTTCGTCACAGAGCAGTGCACCAAACGGCGGCTGCGTTTTCTGATAAGTTATCTTTCTGCGAAAAATTCATTGAACTTTGGAGACATCGTTAATAGAAATAATTTTTATGACCGTTGAATAAGAAATGTTTTTTTCACAAGAAATGTATAAAATTACAGTACTGTATTAGATTTACAGTACCTAATTTAGGCCTATATACTGTACAGACGATAGTAAACTCAACTTACCCGCCTAAATTCTCCATAGCGTGTAAGTAGTTTGGCTGCTCGTCCACTATTGGTCCAGATTCGACCAGTCCTGTCACGACACAAGTCGGCAATGACGTTTTACTGCATTTTATGAGTCTCTTTTAGCGTCTTTATATGAATACGGTCACAATTTTTTTGCCATGATATATGAATCCGCATTATATGAACCCACGTTATAGGGGGTCTCCTGTATATATAATAAGAATTATTAAATAATATTATTTATATTTTTATTATATAAACAAATATGAAATGTAAAATGACTTTCAAATTCATTGATATATTCTAATAAAAAATTTCAATGGTAATTTTATTACAATTATATAAATTATTTTTATCACGCACGCGCGCGCGCACACACACACACACACACACACGTCATTGCAATTCTTTATACTGTATATATATATATATATATACAGTATAAAGAATTGTTTTAGTTTGTTGAAAGTGTTAAAATTCATATATTCACAACATAGATTAATCATTGATGATTTAAATAGATGTATTAATGACAAGGTAGTTAAATTGTGAATAGTATTATTATATCATTATATAACAATATTATTCACAATTTTTAATCATTTTTACAGATTCTAGAATTATTAATATTAAACTGGCCATTCTTTGTTCTTGATAACAATCTGCATCTTTCAGATATAGAGTGAATGAGTCTTTTGAACAGTTCAACCAAATTCATATGATGCAAGCATTAATGATGGTTTCAATCAGTTTCCTTGTTGTGGAGACAATGTTCTTTTGTTAAGGTCAACTTTCATTTCCTTTGAACTTTTCAAGCAAGGGATTCTTTTTTACTTTATATTCACACAATTTATTTGTAATTCATAATTAATATTTCCAAAATATAGCACGATTATTTAAGACAATTGTGGGTGTCTATTTGCTAAACATAGCTTTTCGGTAGATGTTTATAATCAAACTTTGAGCAGTCTGCAGCATACTGTAGCCATAAAGTACCTCACGCTGCAAGATTCACTCTACTTATGGAGTAGTTCAGAAGATATCAGGTTCTAGTTTTTGGCAGGTAGCATCTTTAAAATCTTTTCATCCCTTGCTGATGAGCACTGGATTGACTGGCGCATCCAGACTGACTGGATTCTGTTTTATGAGCAAACCTTTCTGTAGTTTTATGCTTCAGGATTGTTCTTTTAACCATAGAATGGATACAAAATATCCTGTTTGATATCTGTCTACCTTTTCTACTATATGCCTCCCTAATCGGGGCTTGCGTGCAATATTGATTCCCCCAACATATGCATAAATGTTTATTGCTCTGTATTCAATATATATTTGTTTTTATTACAATTTAAATAATATTGATAAAGTTTGATTGAAAATATGAAGCAAAAATACAATTGCACTACTAAAAATACAAATATACCTACCTATAGTACCTACAGTACTTTGCACAAATAAAATGGGTAATATCTGTATATAGTATACAACTAGGAATTTATTCTTTCTGAATAAAGTTATAATAATGTTAAAAAAATTGTTTTTCATATTTTCACAAACTATAAACATCAATGTGAAATATGAGCTTGTTTTGAATTGCACAAAATGATTGATGTTTGGTTTTAACTTCAGCCCCACAGAAAGGTCATTTTACTGCTGGAGCTATGACTTTTGCTTGAGTTCCAAGGCCACTATTCCCTGCTATAGTTTCAACACTGTCAGTGCATAAACCTATACCTATACAATCAATCCAGGTCAAAGCCTTCAGCACAGACAAATTTGTTAATTAACTGAGTATGTCTTCACCTGAAGTTGTACAAAACAGTAACTTTTCTCTTATATTTCCTTCCATATCTTATCTCACATAACAAATAAACTGAGCCTGTGATGAAATATTGATTGATTCATTGAGATGCAATATAAATATATGATTTTATTTTACTTGTTGATTTAACGGCATTTTCAAATCCATAGCCAAGTCATTGATTCACCATGAAACTATTATTTGACAGTGGAATAGTTCATAATGCCTTAGCAGATGCTTCTCCATTCATAATGCGACAAATTTCTAAAGCTGTTGGAAGCAACAAATTCTCAGCAATAGTGTGTGATTTCTTACATTTAGCGATTTTCATAACCACTACATAAGAAGTTTTCAATGTTTCCTGCAATACCATGCCTTCTTTTGACGTTACAATCTTCTAATGTTTTAGTTCTACTCTTTTTGAACAAAAAACTCACGATTCTTGTGTACATAATTTTTTTGCATTGTTTCCAGATATATTTTAAGCTTTGAAAGCTTTTAAGGCTGTCATTGGTGAGAATTTGAAAAAAAATGACACACTGGGTCTGTTGAATGCTGGATTTGCTATGAAAACAAGAAAATCCACACCTGATATAACTTGTGTCTTATTGCCTGCACTTTTTCTTTTCTTTATCCGTTATATTATTAAGTTCACTTTGGTCTGCAAATTCTGCACTTCTCATATTCTCTTCAAATAGCAGTTCATTCTAAATATCAAGACAATTGGTTTAGTTTAGTTAGTTAGTTAGTAGATTAACAATAAGTAAAATATATTGTGATAATCCAACGAACGTTATTTGTGCAATGAAGAAAACAACATGAGAGTGATGGAAAAACATCATGTACTTGTGGAAGGATATCACATTGTGTTTGTCCGTTTTTATCCACATACACTTACTTGTCAGTCAGTACACTGTATACATTGTGTGCATCAGCTTGCACCTCTCAAGGAAGGCGTGCCTCACTGGTTGGGAATCATTGGTCTAGATTATAATCCTTTTAAGGTAGAAGGTAACCAGGGCCACTGAGAGCTTGTATGGAGGCCTGGGGCAGAGTAGGTTTTTTTTTCTTAATGGGCCCTTTAGCCATTTTTTTAAACAAATGAAATACATAGAATGTTTATTCATAAAATGCAGTTTAAAAGATTTTATTTTCTATTAGTAAAAATAACAGGCAGGGGTTCCAATGCATGACATAGTGATGCTTCTTGGGGGCCTTAATGCTAAAATAGGCAAAGAGTGGTGCTTCCAACCCACCATAGGAAAGGAGAACCTGCATGAGACAAACAATGATAATGGAGAGTGACTTATCAACTTTGCCAATGCTAGAGATCTGATAATTCTTACTACTAATTTTATAGAGATAGGAATCACTACAGGCCCCTAGTTTTCTACAGGCCTAGAGAAAATTCTCCAGCTTCCCCCAAGCAGGGATGCCCAAAGTGGGGCAAAATGACAAAATTGTTCCTACTTCATTTGGAATTCTATACAAGTTTTTTCTTTATTTTTTTTAATTTAATATAATAATTGAATCTGCTTTAGAGCTCCCAATATGTATTTTGCTTCAGGCCTCTGTTATCTTCTGGGTGATCCAGACTCTGAGAGCAACAATGCCTTTCAAGGTTACAACCTTGTACTAAATTACAAAGGTGTTCACTATTTATGGCTAATTCTAGTTCAGAATTCTCTGTTATATGCTCTACTATGTTCTTGTCAAAGAAACATTTGTGAGCTGTGTTCTTAATGGCCATTCTAAGCCAGCATATGCTAGGTTTTGGAATGTCCCAATTATACAAACTTCTTATTAAATAACTCAAAAGTTTTAAAAGATAATTAAATTCTGTAAAATAATCTGAAATGTAAACAAAATTGCAAACAAAACAATATAAAACATATATTGAATTTATTTATTAACTTAAAAAATGCACTTAAAACAAATATTGCAACATTTTTGTAACTGGTGCAAGATTTCTGATTGGCATGTGAAATTATTTGTCATGATAACTTTATGCAAATTTTAAGCAATTCCTGTTTTATAAAGACCCATTTAGTCTATATTTAGTCTATTAAAAAAGTTATAAATCTAGAGATTTCAATAAATATTATAACATATAGGTCCTCCAGGTTGGGATTGTGCATGGAGCTAATAACCCCACCATATAAAAGATAGAATGGTTATGAAACAGTCACAAGAAAACAACCAGACAGCCTTTAAAGGGAACTGGAAAACAATGGAACTGGAAAAAAGGACTGAACATAGGAACCTGGAATGTAAGAAGCCTTTATAGAGCAGGAGCACTTAAGGAGGTAATAGGAGAACTACGGAGATATAAGATGGATATCACAGCCATCCAAGAAACACAGTGGCTAGGGATGACATAATCACCTCGGAGAACATGACAATCCTATATAGACGAAGTACTAGACATGAACTAGGTACTGGTTTCATCATAGCTAAGCATATATGGAACTCGATCTTGGCATTTGAATGCATTTCTGCAAGGATTTCAACTCAGAATGAGAAGCAGATGGTTCAATATCACACTGGTCAATGCCCATGCTTCCACAGAAGTCAGCAATGGAGGAAACAAAGATGAATTCTTTGAGGAACTTGAGAAC